TAACTGTTCTTATAGCTTAAATTAATCCATTTCCATAAATCTATACCTTGCCACGTGGCTCGTGGCTTACCGGTGTCTTCACATGCAGCTTGTCCTGGTGGCGGCTGGCAGTGACTCCTTCTGCCCTCCTGTTCTTTCTTTTCTCCTCTCTGTTAGTCCTGCCTATACTTCCTGCCTAGCCACTGGCCAATTAGTGTTTTATTTCTTGACCAATCAGAGCAACACATTTGCCATACAGAACATCTCACAGCATGTCTGTCTCTTAAATGTGCTTTTTGTCCCTACTTTGTGCTGGCCTCTAACTTACCATCCTCCTGTCTCAGCCTCCCCAATGTGGGTTAATAGGTGCACACCACCATGCAGAGTTTGTTTGTTTGTTTGTTTGATTGTTTGTTTTTTGACATGGTCTTATTCACTGTGTAGGCCTGGCTGGCCTGGAGTTCACAGAAATCCACCTGCCCCTGTCTCTTGAGTGCTGAGATTAAAGGGATAAGGCCAGCAGCCTTTTTTTTTTTTTTTTTTTTAAAGAGATATTTTGAAAGCTATACACTGAGCTGTTTTTTATTCCCATGAATCAGTTTAAGTGTCAGGCTGTGAGATAATAATTTCTAACTTGAGCATTTGACCTAGCCTACACATTTCTTTAAGAGAAATTCAAAGTTGTATATAAAAAAGCAGGGCATCAAATTGAAACCACTGAGTCAGAAGCCCTAGGTACTTAGTCTAGATTTTGTCTGTGAGTTAAGAGTCCAGCTGATCTCTTTTTCTCCAGTATAAATTAGGGAAATATTTATACTGCCTTTATTTAGAATATATAAGAGAAATAAAAATTGATAGATTTTTGTATGGTTGGAGATTTGTTTTAGAATTTGGAAGGTACATATTTCTTCAAGTCAGTTAACTAGAACTAACAATACACACTTTTATATCAGAGAGTTTGGTTTTGTTTCTGGTTTTTGGGGCTCCTTTGGAACCTCCTGACAGTGTCCTCTGTCCTGTCGTCTTAGGTCCTGAGGTAGGCGCCTCGCCGCAGAGCGGGAGGAAGAGCAGCGCGGCCGAGGGGGCGTTACTGCCCCAGACGCCCCCGTCCCCTCGGAACCTGATCCCGCACGGACACAGGAAGTGCCATAGCTTGGGTTACAAGTCAGCAGCTCTCATTTTGTCTTTCCAGTTTTAGTTGTTGGAGGATGGGTTTACTTTCTGTTCACTTTGTTAGCAGAACATGTTTCTATATTCTGTTTACTTAGTAAGTAGAAATTAGGTGCCTGTGTGATTGGTTTTGATAATGTCATCAGTCTTCGGGTTCAGTAAAATATATCTTGTTTGCCTGAAAGGATTTATTTTTCTCTTACCTGGATGTGGAAATGAGTGTTCCCAGCAATGCCTATATTCGAGGGAAATAAATCAGGAATGCAGAGAGCCATCGTAAATAAATCCAGAGGGCATATGCTGAAATTTTCCTTTTAAAATTGTAACCTTGTTTTCAAGAGCTATTATTTATCATAGCAAATACAAATAATAAATTAAGCTATAAAAAACTACTCTCTTTATTCCTAAATATAATGAAAAAAAGGCCGATTCTCATTTCGTGCCATTCATTGGTTTTGCAGTGTAGACTCCTGAAGGAGGAATGCATTCTCTGTGGACATGTTCTGTGCCAAAACAAACTCTGAACACAGTTTTGATTAACTTTTATGTCCTGAACTAGAAACATGGGAAGTTGTAAAGAGTGTTTCTCTCTGTTTCCAGTTTCATTCATAAGATGAACACGGCAGAATTTAAGAGTGCGACATTCCCAAACGCAGGGCCACGGCACCTGCTGGATGATAGCGTCATGGAGCCCCATGCACCATCCCGAGGCCAAGCTGAGAGCTCCACGCTTTCCAGTGGGATATCCATAGGTGAGAGACTCACTGGGGCTTCCAACTGTTGCAGTAAAAACAAGCAAACAAAAACAAAAAACCTTAGCTGCAAAAACATTCATTAACCTTAGGGCAGTGGTTCTCAGCCTTCCTAATGCTGTGACCTTTAATACAGTTCCTCATGTGTAGGGACCCCAACCATAAAATTACTTTGTTGTTACTTCATACCTATAATTTTGCTACTGTTGTGAATCATAATGTAAATTTCTGATATGCAGGCTGTCTCATATGTGGCCCCTGTGAAAGGGTCGTTCAAAAGCCCCAGGGGCGTAACCCTTTTCCCTAGCATCAATACAAAAAATTTGGTTTAAAACAAAGGCACAATTTATAGGGTAATGGTAATAGTTGTAAATTATTTTTAAAGCGCTAATCATTTTGACTCCCAATGAGAAAGCATTTGACAACTTTGAGACAAAACAGTAGGCTGCTTGACTTGATGAACTGCATGCAGTTGGGCTGAGGAAGGAGGAAAAGGAGGAAAGGAAGGGGTCAAGTGTGAGTCCCAAGTCATTTGAATGAAGCAGCTCACCAGCTGACGGGGATCTTCCATACGCAGGACCGGAGAGAACTGTGTCTGACTGGTGACATATTTATTGAAGGCTGGCTGAATTTGGCAAGTCAAGACTCTTGTTTTGAACTTGCTTGGTCTTTAATAGAGATGTCAGGTCCTAGAATGTACAAATCTGGACCTCACTTTGGGTGATGTCAGATGTGCAGCTGTGTGAAAATTATTACTGTATTTGTAGTATTTCCAACTATAAGACTTGTTTAGGTCACCCAGGTATAGTATACATAAGTAAGACATTCTCACATATCGATATTTATAGAAATTATTTTTAATAGAAGATGGATTAACAAAGGGAGCCATTCAGGGGAGAAACCAGATGTGCTGTCACAGAAGCCAGTTGTCTTGAAGAGGAAAATTGTTTTGTATGCATGTGTGTACATACCACATGTGTGGAGGCCAGAGGTTATCATGGGATCTCTTCCTCTAGCACTCTTTAACTTATATTTGAGATAGAATCTTTCACTGAACCTGAACACACTACCAGCCGACCTTCAGATCCTCTGCCTCTTCCCCAGTACTGGATTTTACATTTTCACTATTTCTATAATATATTTTTTATATATTAATTATATATAAAATATTTTTTTCCTTTTTGGTTTTTCAAGACAGGGTTTCCCTGTGAAGCTCTGGCTGTCCTGGAGCTCTCTCTGTAGACCAGGCTGGCTTCGAACTCCTAGAGACCCACCTCCCTCTGCCTCCCGAGTGCTGGGATTAAAGGTGTGCACCACCACCACCTGACCACTGTCAATATTTTATGTACTTATCCACCATCAAAAAAGAAGAGGAGAAAAAAAAAAAGAAGAGGAGGAGGACAGGAAAAAAAAACAGCCAAAAAGAAAACCTCTCTCTTTGGATTGTGTATCACCTGCATTCAGTCCCTGTCACCAAGTATTCGCCCTGTCTTGTTTCCCTTTCTACGTGTTATACTGTGCATTGTTTACGTATTTCATATATTACAGGCGAGGATCCACATATGAGAGGGAGAGAACAGAGAATATGGCAGGTTTTTTTCTTTGTGAGATTGTATGGCCTCAGTATTACACATTCTAGGTCTATCCATTCACCTGAAAACTTGGTGGTTTCATTTTTCTTTAGAACTGTATTCCTTCATATATATGTGCCCGATTTTCTATTCATCTGTTGATGGAAGGCTAAGCTGGTTCTTGCTATAGAATAAAGCAGCAGTAAACATGGGGTGCAGATACCTCCGTGGTAGGGTGTGGTGTTCTCTGGGTATATGCCCAGCAGTGAAGTAGCTGGGTCATATCCAAACTGACTTCCATAATGGCTGTAATTTGTACCCCCACCAACAATGAATAAGGGTTCTCCACATCCTCTCCAACATTCGCTGTCAGATTTCTTGGTGGCAGCCATTCTGATGGATAAGAGGGATCTTGAAGAAGGTTTAATTTGAAGGGTGGCTTTTGATTATAGCTTCAGTCTCATTGCTTGTGATGGATCTGTTTATGTTGTTTATATCTTCTGAGTTCTGGTAGATGATAGGCATTTAGAAATTCCGGGTTTTTCAGCTTTCTATAGAGTATAAGTCTTCATAGTAATCTCTAATAATGTTCTGTTGTGGTTCAGTTGTTATGACCCTTTTGAACTCTAATTTTGTTAATTTGGGTCTTTAACCTCTTGTCAAATTGTGTAAGGGTTTGTCAATCTTTCTAACTTTTCTCAGCCCTCTTTGGTTGGTTTTGTTGATTACTCCTTTAATCTACTTCATTCATTTCTTCTTTAACTATTGCCATCTACTGTGGGGTGGGGGGTTGGGGGGTAGCTGCCTGTTTTTGTGAGCTCCGAAGAGGTTTGTTCCCTCTCCGATGTTTTAATGTGAGCACCTCGCTGCTGTAGACAGTCCTCTTGGGACTGCCTCGGCTGGATCCCAGAGGTTCTGATAGGCTGTGTTTCCTTTATCGTTTGTCTGTAGGCATTTCTTTTTCACTTGAACTGCTCATTCAAAAGTGTGTTGTTTAGTTTCCGAGGATTTTTGTGCTTTCTTATTGTTGATTTCTAGTGTACTCCATTGTGGTCTGACACAATACAAGGAATTATTTCAGTTGTTTTAATGTGTTGAGACTTGATTTATATCCTATATAATAGAGTTTGAAGAAGGTTCCATGTGCTGCTGTTGATTGTTTTACTTCTTTAAGTGTTTATTTGGTTTTGTTCTTTGATTTTTCAAGACTGTTTCTCTGTGTAGCCCTAGCAACCTGGAACTCTCTCTGTAGACCAGGTTGGCCTCGAACTCAGAGATCCAACCTGCCTCTGCCTCCCGAGTGCTGGGATTAAAGGGGTATATATGTACTACCACCACCCGGCTTGTTTTAAGATTTTTATAAATCATGTCTATGCATGTGCATTTACATGTGCCTTCCACATTATGTGCCTGTATAAGTGCATGGCCAGCAGAATCCAGAAGATAGTCAGATCTTCTGGAATTGGAGTTACAGGTACTTGTGATCCACTTAACATGAGTGCCGAGAACCAAACTAGGGTCCTCTAAAAAAGTAGTACAGTTTTCATTTTAGCCCCTGAGCCATCCTTTCGAGCCTGTTTTTACTTGTCTTTAATTATGTGTATGCATGTGTGTCTGTTTGTGAGCATATGCACATGAGTACAAGTGCCCCCAGGAGACCAGAGGCAGAGGCCTCAGGTACCCCTGGTGCTGGACTTGAAGGCATTTGTGAGCTGCCCAACATGGTTTCAGGAAACACGACTTGGGTCCTCTGCAAGAGCAGTACAAGCTCTTAACTGCTGAGCCATCTCTCCAGCCCCTTATTTTTACTTAAGCATTATTTCTTTTTATAATTAGAAACTATATCCATAGTATGCTCAGTTGTTGTGGTTTTAATACAGAGAAAAAGATCTGATTGTCACATTGCTCAAGGGCCAAGCTGTATTGTTGCTATAATCTCAATGTCGAAGTCAGTAGAGATCCATCATCTGAGCATACTGGCTCCCTTAGCCTGAGAATTCCCTAAACATAGACCCGCTCTGAACCCTCCAGTGCCACCCAGCCCTTATTTACGCTGGTGCTCTCCTCTTGTACAAACACTGTTAATTAAACGACAGAAGACAGGCTGTTACCTGAACTACCTCTTTATTAATGTTCTGAGCAGTCCATGTGCAGCATTAACCTCAGTTAAAAGTTTGTTCTACCTATGGAATCTAGTATGTTCCCTAAGAGAAAAGATTCCATATATATATATATATTTGTATGGATTAAAATTATTCTCTAGTTTAGCTGTAGCTTTTACTCTTTTGTGTGTAAGTGTGTCTTGTCAGAAACATCAGTGAATCTCCACAGAGTCAGGATTTATTGAACAGCAGATTCACAGGTACTGCCATTTCATGGCAGCAGTTTGCCAGATATTGCCACTTTCCTGGATCAGCTTAGCCAAGGCAAACATGGGTTCTCTTATTCTAAACTTAATTGCTATAACTCCACATCAGATATTACATACCACACAGGTGGGTTACAGAATGGCTACAAAGAGCAAAGGAGGCCGCAAGGAACCTCAGCTGGAAACCGGCAGAAAGGCTGATGGCTGTGGGGTGAGGTAACACCCCAGCAGGAGGTCTGTGGTTGGGGTTCTGCAGCTGCTCTCTGGAATCTGCTGGCTACAGGATCAGAGTTGAGTCCAGGGACAAAGGCAGGGCCAAGTCCAGAGGGACACAGATAGATGGACAATACAACCAAACAGATAAATAGGAAGACAGACAGGCAAATTTGAATAAGTCGTCTCAACAGTAAGAGCAGAGCTGAGCTGACTCCCCTGAGAGTGAGGGATTCTCTGCCTGTCGGTTCTTTATGTGGGTTGAATAAGCCCATGTACTCTTACAGTCCCAAGTCACACTGGTAGGTTTATAGGATGGCACTGTTTCTACTCCCCTGAGACACTTGTCCAAAATGCTCAAGGTGCTGAGTCTGAATCCCAGCACTGAAAAAGAAAAATCCTGAAAGGAAAATGGCTGAAGCGTATATTCCTAATTTGAAGTAAGGATGCAATAATCTACTATTTGCCTACATAACAGCCTTGAGAGAACTAAGAAAATAAACACAAAGGCCAGGCCTGAAAACATGGAGTAACTAAATGGTGTAGTCAGTTGACTTCCTGTGCTTGCTAGGACAGCTGTGGGAAGTTGTTACAGTCAGCCTGTGCCCGGGCTTAGCTTCTCTGTTGTGGAATACAGTGATGTTCAGATGATGCCATGCCCTGGGAGACTCGATTTCAAATTTCATTAAGCTTTTTATCCTTGTCATATATTGGTTTCAAAACAAGAAGTTAGTATGTCATGAACTTCTTTGGGTTTCAGTAAGGAAAAGTCTTTGCTCTGGACATTTTGAAGGTAGAAAATGTTTCTTTTTGTTTTTGTGGTGTTGAGAGTCTAACTTGGGTAGACAAGCACTCTATCAGTAAACTACATCTTCAGCCCTTGTACTTTTTTGTTATCGCTGTGTGTTTGTTTTTATTTTGAGACAGAGTCAAATATTATCTGACCGAGGCTCTCTGTGAACTTAAAATCCTCTCATCTCCACCTTTGAAGTACTAGGATTACTAGCATGTGCCACGAGAAAATTCCTTTTTAAAATAGAAAATATTAACTGGGAAAATTACCGATAGAGCAATAATAGAACAACTCTTGATTTTAGGGAGCAGTGACGGCTCTGAACTAAGTGAAGAGACCTCGTGGCCGGCTTTTGAAAGGTAAGAGAAATCAGTCACTAAAATTGCTTTGAACTTTGGCCTCTCTTAGAAGATATAACGAATATGAATTTGAAGAGCTTGTTACATATCACTAAGTGATGAATCTTTTTAGTGGCCAGAAGAAATCACAGATAGATACTTAATCCTGGAATTGTACATGAGAATGGCTGTTATGATCTTTACATATGTTGATTTGGTGTTTTTATATGTGTTTTGAATTTTTGAAATTGTAACATGGATTTTTAATAATAAATTTTTAGTAAAAATTTTAAATAACCATAATTAACTTCTGTGTTTTAAAATGAGATTATCTCCATAGGTCTGGGTAATCTAATTGTAAGACATTTATTTAACTTGTTCTTCCTAAGGGCAGAATGACAGCTAATTTTAAATTACAAGTAAAGGTTAGCATTTCACATTGAAGGTCTGTGTATGTGTCGTGCTTTGTGCTGACCTGCTGTGGGATCATGCTGTCTTCTTGTTGAATTAAGCTATAAACTCTGTCATCTATGCAGAGATAGTGCGCCGTATTAATCATAGCACTCTCCTGAGACTAAGGAAAAGTTATTCGAATAGGTATTTGCCAGGCGTCCATTCAGACTCTTAAGTTATCACTTCAGCACTAATATCCTCTGGCTCAAGACATTTGCCTGGGCAGAAGTAAGTGCTTCACTTTTACGTGTAAACCAAGATGGGAACTTGTAAGCAGAAAGCGAGCTGGGGAGGTGGGGAGTGGTGCTTGTTCTGCAGTGCTAAGGGCTTGAACCCAGGGCCTTCTACCGAGCCCTCAGATCATCGTTTAGATTAAATCTTAGTGTTACATGAACACTCCAGAGCAGTCACCTTTAAACAGGAACATTGGAAATTATATTTGAATCATCTAATTTCAAACTGCTTATTGGAAACTTCCTCTTTAAAGATTTCTCCTGAATATGTTATTGAGATCTCACTTATATACTCTGTATGCTTTGATCTTTTCTACACTGAGTGTTTCCAACTTTTGTTTTCTCTCTTGGGGAGTTTGTAACAATTTGTTTTCATGTATTATTTTCTGAAGTTTTACTTTCATTCTCTCTCTTTTTTTTAAAGATATGTATTTTGTGCATGTAAATATGTTTGCCTGCATGTATGTCTGTACCACCTGCATGCCTGGTGCTTACAGAGGTCAAAAGAGGGTGTCAGATCCTCTGGTGTAAGCCAACATGTGGGTGCTGGGAATTGAACCTGCGTCCTCTGGAAGAGCAGCCAGTGCGCTTAATGCTGAGCCATCTCTCCAGCCCCAACTTTCATTCCTTTAATTGAGTTTCCCTGAAATGCAGAAAACACAAAAGTTGCGTTTGGCTTGTTCTCTGAATTTGTTTTTTAAAAAAATCTTTCCCTCTGGAAAAGTTGTAATACCATCGGTTATTATTAAGGCATAATTTTTAGATTAACCATATTGTTAGTAGTTGTTTCTTAGGTTGTTTAAACTATAAATGCATAACCCAGTGTAGCGCTGCATTAATCTCTCTTCATCCCAACAGGTTACCTATGAAGGCAGTTTGTAATGTGTTAACCTTCATACCTCAAAAATAGCGTTTTTCTTGTGTGGCACAGTTTGTTTTATGTATATTTGCAGCTAAAACATCTGTACTTGCGCCAGGTTTGAAACAGTGGTTCTTCAAACATTTTGAAAACAGCTAAATAAATGCAGCCCAAAAAGATTCAGACTTGAAATAGTACTGAGCCACACAAAATAGTACTGATCCACACCACACCAAGTGCCCTGAACCAAGCTTGGGGCGCTAAGTAGGTAGCAAACGTTGCACAGTGAACTATCTCCCCAGTCTCTGAATCATTGTCTGAATTGTAACCACTGTTTTCTCCTCTTATTTCCTACATTAAGTATCATGTATCACATACTTTTGACTTTCCTAAACAAAGAGATACCATTGTTTCTGGTTTTATTTCCAGTATCAAGTACAATGTGATTTGGGGTGAATACTGGTTCATAACATTCTTATCATTTTATTGGCTTTGACAGTTGATAGAAAAGAAAAACAAAAACAAAAAACAACGCCTATATGTACTCCTCAGCTAGTCTCTACTAGCTACTTTTCTTTGAGTTAGGGTAAGAGGTTTTCCTCATTCATTTTAAGTTTATAAGCCACATTGCTTTTAGGTGTCTTCATAGGGACATATGATAAAATGAATTATTTATATAAGTCCATATGACATATTTAAACTGGAAGCCAAGAAGAGCAAAGGGTTTTTGGAGCATTTTCAAGTTTCCAAATTATTTGGCCATAAATAGTTCTTTAATCTTTTGACAGATGTATGAAAATGAGTGCATGTATAATTGTGTAGTATAGTGTGTTCTTTATACCGGTGTTTCTAGAATCAATAGAAAAATATTTTAATTATGTTGCATGTTTTAAAAAAGAATCATATCTTATCCTTTTTAAGGATTAATATAGAAAGCTAGATTACAAACTAGTATACTATTCTAGGTATTGATGATTCTATGAATAAAAATATATGTAATATATACAATTTATAATGGAATCCAACAGGAACAGATTATACCATTCTCTCGGCCCGGTGACAAGAGTGCCACGAAATGGCTATGGAAGCCACACGAAGGCCAGCAGGTACAATTCCCCTGCATCAGGGGCCACAGAACTCCCTTCTGGTGTTGGTGGCTGGCTCATTATGGGTGTTGTCTGGCATTTTTTTCTCTTCTTTCTCAGCTGATTGGTTTTAAAGCTAAACAAATTGCCCATGAAAACTTTCTTTCCAAGACTTAATATAGTTTAAATTTGAACTATTCTTTCTAAGTCACGGGGCTAATTATTAAAATTTGCATCTTTAGGTCACATTTTTAAAATGCTACAAAGTTGTTAGCCCTTTAACCACACACTTTCTAATGCTGCTAATTACAGCTGAGCTGTGCAAAAATCAATTTGTTACTCTTAAGTTGCAATCAAAGTGTTTCTTTTGCTAGTAAGTTTATATTCAATTTGTCCTTTTTAAGTAAGGTGTTTTTTTCTCCCCGATAAACCATAGGGCCTGAATTTAGATGAGTGTGTTTCATTAAATAATTTTTTTTTACTTCTCTACTTAGCTGGGCCTCTCTGCACTATCTTATCTGTGGAAGTACCTAAAGTTGATACATGCATGGGGGGAGGGTCACTCATGACAGGCAGTCAACTCAGAACAGCAGACCAGCTCTTCAGAAGCAAACCCTGTCAGCTCGATGGTGTGTCCCCTCCTGAAAGTTCTAGGTTGTCACTTTGAAGACACCTAAATAATCGTGAAGAAACTTTAAATGTCTGCATTCTTTGCTGTGTTCAGAGTTCTACATCTCATAACCCATCACCAGAGATTGGCGTTGAAATCATTCTGTTTTAAATCTAGGCTCTAAAATCAACTGAGGAAAGACATTAAAATGATTGCTAAAATATGTGAAAAGGGAATCCTGAGTATGGGGTTCTTTGTTGTTAGAGATCTGTCAGGCATCGGTAGATTGGAAGGTCACTAAAGCCCACCACAGAGAGCCAGTTTCTAAAAGTATGTTAGTGACGGTTACTTTCATTTCTATTCTTTAAAATTAAGTGTGAGTCTTCTGGGGTTTTTGCCAGTTTTTCATTTTGTTTTTGCTCAGAGCTTGTTACTGCATTTTCTGTTTTGTATTCTTAAATATTTCTAACAGAATCCTTGTCTCTTGCCAGCAATCAGTTTCTGATGGGTTACCACAGTGATGTACTGTGGCATGTTAAGAAGGGAAAAAAAAAGCTTTAAATTTTTTAACTAATCTTGGTTCAAGTGAATTCCTGCTTTCTTTCTAAATTGTATTTGTTGAAATATGTGATCGAATGTGTGTTTAAACATGTGCTGACTGTAATAACTCCTCATTAACTTTATGACAGCTTCTAAATCTCAAATCAGTATGTCTTTAAAATCCTCAGTGTCTTACCAGCTCTCAATAAAGTATCAAGGTTTTAAACTTAAGAATAATGGGATTCACTTACCGACCCTCTCATTGACTGCTGCAGACACACGCTTAGCTGCTTCCCGCTTGGTCTCGTTGTTACAGTTCTGCGGAGTCGGAGGACTTGGCCGTGCACCTGTACCCAGGAGCTGTTACTATTCAAGGTGTCCTCAGGAGGAAAACGCTGTTGAAAGAAGGCAAAAAACCCACAGTAAGATTTCTTCTATTCCAACATAGGTCTGAAGGTACACCAACGCCCCAGAAGCACTTAAGAGTTTAAAAAGAAGCAGATCCATAGTAGACTTGACCTCACTTAAAATACACACTGTCCTCATTATGGTTGTCTTTGGTTTGGTTTTTTTTTTTGGGTTTTTTTTTTTTTTTTTGGTTTTTTTTTTTTTTTTTTGGTTTTTTTTTTTTTTTTTTTTTTTTGGTTTTTTTAATCCTGGACAAGAAGAACTTTACTCTTAATCAAGAAGGTGAGCACATGGAGACAGGAAGTGCACTTGGTTTTCATTGTGGGGTATTCACCAGAGAAGACTGCTTGGATCTGGGTTGTTATTAGCTTTATCAGGTGGGTGTTGGAGATCCTGGGCCTTTCTCAGAGTGAGCTTTTAAGCACAAAAACCATGTTCTGGGTGGACATGTTTCAGTTAACAAGTTAGTCAGAAGCAGAACTACAGAAGACAGAAAGCAAGGTTAGCACTTGAGATTCTTTCCCAGAACTGCGGAGTTTGATGGATTGGACCTTTGCTTGAGCCTTGGGAGCTGGTGCTGTCTGTGTGCTGACTTTGATGGCCTGGATCAGGGTCCTTCCCCTTCCTCCTTCCCCTCCTCTGCACAAATAACCTTAAGACTAAGACTGCTCAAGCCAATGGGAAACTGCAGTAACCACCCGAGTTAGATTAAAACTGCAAGGAGGCCCCAGCACAACCAACTCCACATGGAAGTACCATCCAGGCTACATCATGTTCATGTGCTTAAATCAAATAATCCTGTACTCAGCTTCGAAGGTAATTCTTACCCAAAAATACTTTTTAATGAACCCTGAAAATACATTAAGAGTTGACAGTAGGAAGCTGGGTATGGCGGTACACACCTTTAATCCCATCATTCAGGAGGTAGGTAGAGTTTACTTAGTGAGTTCCAGGCAAACTAGGTCTACACAGTGAAACCTTGTCTCAAGAGAAAGAGAGTAAATCGTAATGTTTAGAAAAATTGAAAGTGGAATAAAACCTAAGAAATAGAATAATTTTGTTCCATCAATTTTTATTTCAACTTTGTAACGTCAAATCTACCTTTGAAAACAAAAAGCTTACAGGACAGAACCTTTAGTATCTAGCAAAAAAGTTTGTTTTTCCTCACAGCCTATTAGTTTGACTACTAAGAAAAGTTTTTTTTCTTTTCTCAAATCACAGGATAGTTTAATTTAAAATATATATCCACTAGGTGATAGTGACACATGCCATTAATCCCAACACTGGAGGCAGAGGTAGGTGGATTTCTGAGTTCAAGGCCAACCTGCTCTAAGGAGCAAGTTCTAGGACAGCCAGAGCTACACAGAGAAACTCTGTCCTGGAAAGAAAGAAAGTAAATGAATGAATGAATGAATAAAGTGTGTATTCTTTGGCACATATCTACACTTACAGCTTTTGAAGGTCTAAGGCCCTCTTAAGACTAAAGATGATTTACATCTAGTCATCTCATCTTGCTTTGTACTTTACGTTAAACCAAAGACACACACATTCAGAAAACTAGCTCTGCTCTGCTCCTCAGTGACCTTAGAGTCACGTGTGTGCTGAGAGGCTTATAGCTGTTACCTGCAAGGTGCTAGAGGTCCAGCAGTGAGCATGCTAAACCAAGTGCCTGCCTTGTGGAGAGTATACTCCCCTGAGGAAAAAGGAGAGTGCATGGGTAGCATACAGATGGTCTTCAATGGTGGGACTGCATGGGTAGCCCCATGAGGAGTCACCAGAAATAGATCTGTCCAGCATCAAAGCCCTGAGTTCATGACCTTCTGCCTCAGCATACTGGGTTATGGGTGTGTTACTGTGCATCGTCCACTCCTTCCCTTGGTGGTGGTAGATTTTATTTGTTTGTTTTTCAACTCACTCTGTAGACCAGGCTGGCCTCGAACTCAAGAGAGATCCGCCTGCCTCCACTTGCCTAGTGCTGAATTAAAGGCATGTGCCACCATGCCCGTGAGAGGTCAGCCCAGAGTCAGCACTGCTAAGGGTGACTGATAAGGACGGATTGATAAATGTCAGTGGGCAGTGATCTTAAAGACAGTCCCTAAGCCTGGAATCCACGGGAAGGAAGTTGAACAGGAAATAGGAAAGACAGAAGTAGAGGCAAGAGTGAGAAACCTTGCAGGAAGTTATGCGGTGAAAAGAACTAAGAGCTGGATGATGTCAGGAGGGCAAAGGAGACTTAAGGAGTGAGCTCTTCAGGTTCATTATCTAAGTAGGTGGAAGAGAGAGGAAATTGAGATGCAGTGAGAGAGGAATTACTGCAAAAACAAATTAAGAAAGAGGAACTAGAAGTCCAGAGCATGAATAGTTAATGTTTGTAGTTGGGTAGTGGTTCACGTCTTTAATCCCAGCCTGGGCTACAGAGTGAGTTCCAGGACAGGCAGGGCTACACAGAGAAACCCTATCTCAAAAAAACCAAAAAAAAAAAGATGAGAAAGGAAGAAAAAAGAGTTGAGTTTGTCTTTAGACAAGATTGACAAAACCTTTGTAGCAAGAAAAAAGGCTGATTTTTCGAGTTTGCAAACAAGCAGTTATAGAATATGTGCTGAAAATAGGGGCTTTTATTTTTAAGCCAGACTTAAAAATATCTATTTTGTATAAGAATTATGTAATGACATCATAGGATAGTATAATAGAACTTTGAGGAGTGGATATGAAATAATTGTCTATAGAGAAAAAGAGTACAGCGACTTGATTGAGTAAAAAAATTTTAAAAAATACTATGAGATTGGTAAACACAGTCTTACCAGTTGGCATAACTGGGTGCCCTCCCACAATACTCTGCTTCTATAATATGGTGCTAAGTAATCAGATGCAACTAGAGGTTGGCATTTTATCAGGAGAATTGGGGAGAGGGCACAGGATTAAAAGTGTTTAGAGACCGGATAGAGTATTTGACTGTGGGATGTAGACCAGACAGGAAGAATGGGGCAGAGGATATGGTATTGGGGCGAGAAGGTGATGTCACTACAGTATAACAGTCGATGGTGATATGATTCATCTGTGAGTGTGTACATACTCATGAATTTGAAGTGTGCACACAAATGCACATTCTGCATGCGTGTGGCCAGTATTGAATGCCTTTTTCTATTGCTCCACCTTATTTTTTGAGACAGGATCTCTCACTGAACCATGAACTCACTGGCTAAACTGGATGGCCAGCAATCTGCCCGTCTCCGCTCCAGGTGTATGCTACTGAACACAGTTTTTCCATGTGCTGGGGATCTGAACGCAGGTCTCCATGCTTGCACACAGCAGCAAACATTTGACTGGCAGGGCCATCTTTTCAGCACCCAAAAAGTGACAGGATTCTTGATGAAATCTACAGTTCTTTGAATGACTACTAAAGTGTCCACTGAAAGTCATAGCCGTGTCTGAGATGCAGATTTTAGAAGTGCTGTAACTGACTAACAACTGAAGTGAGGTTAGAGTATCGTCACTAGAAGGTCAGGTCAAGCCTTTCAGTAGTATTCATGGGGTTCTTTTCTCCAGGTAGCATCTTGGACAAAGTATTGGGCAGCCTTGTGTGGAACACAGCTTTTTTACTATGCTGCCAAATCTCTGAAGGCTACAGAAAGAAAACATGTAAGTATTCCGCCTCGAAATTGTTAGCTTTGTTTCACAGCCTCTTCCTGGTTGTCAAGAAAATATCCCTAATAGGATACAAGACCACGTTTCTCATCAGCATCTCTCACACTTACTCCCGGTGTGCACGTTATACTTGGAAATGCGTTTAAGCGGCCATTCCAAGGAATGCCTTGGAATCACTTTTGTGTTTTCAAGTTTTTCCATTGCAAATGTGAAAATGGCACATTACAAATATCTGTCTTGGCATCAGACCTTTCTCAGCTCTGCCTTGGGTCAGATGATGGCTCAGAACCCCTGCCTTGTAGCCTCAGTTCCTAGTATTTAAATGTGAAAATGAAAACAATACAGATCTGGGCATGGTGGCCCACACCTTTTATCCTAGCCCTCAGAGGCCACACTGGCGAGTTCCAGGACTACATAGAGAGACCCAGTGTCACAACGACAACAGCAACAAACCATCTCAGACTCCGGTACAGCAGTTTTCCCAACAGTGAAGAGGCATGTGGGCACAGTGGTCACAACAGTGTGCTGTCTTTCCTTCCATGTTTCTTTATAAGCCTCTTGAAGCTCTTTCTCTGTCTACAGTCTTTTAAATTATGGGATGTTTACTTTGTAATTAGTATACCAAGGATTAGATTTTATTATGGATTTTATTATGGTATTTCAAACACGATTTTGTCCTGTTGACCTTCCTTCCCCCATCTTTTCCCACTGCCCCCAGCCTATCCCCTTTCTCCCCTAGAAGCCTCTTGTCCACTTTAAGTCACATGTTCTGCCCCCCTCCCCCAACAGCCCTCTCCTCCTCTGGTCCCCTTTCTGGCCTCTACCCAGACCCACATCTACACATACATAAACATTGAAGCTAGGATCTGCACACGAATGTGGGTTACCTCCTTAAATATTTTTCAGATCCATCCAGTTCCTACATTTTCATTTTGTTTTCCTTTGTGACTGAATAAAATTCTATTGTATATGTAGCCACATTTCTATTATCCATTCATCTGTTGATGGACATCTAGGTTGGTTTTATTTGCTTAGGACTGTGGATAGAGCAGCAATAAACATGGAAGTGCAAGTATCTGGTGTGGTAGAATGTCCATAGGTGTGTGCCCGGGAGTGGTACAACCTAAGACCTGGGTTTGGTGGGTCTTATTTCCATCATGGCTGGACTCGCACCCACAGTGAAGAAGGCTTCCTCTTCCCACATTCTCACCGCACCTCTTGTCTTGCTCTAGACTAGAGGGAGGTGGAATTTCAATGTGGTTTTCATTTGCATTTCCCTAGTGGCTAAGGATGTTGATAACACATTTCAGAATATTTATTAGTCATTTGTGTTTTATGCTTTAATAACTGTCTGTTCCTTTCAATAGCCATTTATTGCCTGGCAATTTGGTTCATATTGTGTTTAATTTTTTTTTTAATTTGAGAATTTTGTACATGAGTGTGTGAGTCATTTCTGCCCTCAACTCCTCTTGTGTCTCTCCTCTCGAAGTCATGACATTACTTTTTGTTTGTGTATATATATATACACACTCTGTATCAAAGATCCACAACCTACTGAGTCCAGTGAGTGTTGCCCTGGTTCACATGTGTTTAGACTGACCACTTAGGATTGGGATCTTGTCCCTGTGGTTGCTGAGGAGGGACTGAGGCAAGAAGATGACAGTGAGTTCAAGGCCAACCTAGACCACAGTGTGAGCCCTAATCTCAAAAAGGAGGGAGGAGAGAAGAGAACAAAAATACTTGGCAACCATATGCCATGTGTATACCCAAATTGGAGTTATTATTTCTTGGCCTATGAAGAATAAACTTGGAAAGAAAGAAGGGATACAATTTTGTTATGTCTCTGTTTTTGAATGTTTAAAAATGACAGCATACTGATTATATAAAAAGTTTTGGTTGAAGTGTATTCATTGCAAAAAAAAACAACTACAGCTATGTTTAAATGTATCACTACATGGTAATGCTTAAACAAATGTGTTTGATTAGTTAAATTTTAAAAACCAGACCTGTACTTGGGGGAGAAAAAGCTGTGGTATTTATTAAAAAAAAAAAAAAATGAAATGGAAAAGTAGAACAGGGAAATGGATGGAAGGTAAAATGCATTAACTAACCAACTTGATTAAATGACCACTCATTAGACAAAAGGTAAAGATGGATGATACTGTAGTGAGTGTGACGTAGGGATACATGTGGTCAGAGACTTCGTGGGGGGGGGTGGCGCGTACACACACGTGCG